ATAAAATCACACAAATTGTGATAACAGAGATTGTGATACATTATTATTAAAGTAATATTAAAGGTTAATCCTATTAAAATCCACTGCTAGGTACAGGTCCATTCTTGTTAAGCGTTTGCCCCCGGCTTCACCCGCATGTAAGTGGAAAAATGAAAACATTTCGAAAAACCTCAGTCCATGTCCATTATTATTATACTTTACTAGCTGCAGCCGCGACTACCACATGACATCTTATACGTGGTAGAGCCATGCTGCAGCTATATTAGTAGTATAGTTAGCACAAATGGGTCGGCTCGACCGGGGAAGGACCACGCTCTCACAGAATACGAGCGTCAAATAGCACCTAAACACTGTTGTGTTTCGTATAGTGAGTGTAGAGAACCGGAGACCCTTTTTACTAGAAAAAAGTCATTCCATCTTAGTCCTCACGGGTGACAACGTTTCTGCATTTTGATTCTTTATTGAGGGTATATGTAGATGTCTATGGATCACAGCAACCACTTAGCATCAGGTGGACTGTGTGCTCATTTGTCACTACATGCCACAAAAAATTCGAAATTAACTTAATTCCTAAAAACATCATGTGATCATTTTCTTCCTTCCGTGCAGTTTTGTGAGATAATTCTTACTTTCTTCTGCCATAACTCAAAGTCTTGCCTGTTACACTGGCAACCCTCCGGTGCTAGAGATTCAAATATAAGTTGTTGTTCCGTTGACAACTTTAGCATGTTATTGCTAAGAAACGTGGTAATTTCAGCTACGCAATATCCTGTTGCTTCTACATATTCCGGGTCGGTTCTAGGCTGTAGCTAGTGTATTTTACTGAGAATTCCTTGACAGAAAAAACTAATAAAGGATTCGGGATTTAATAATAATAATAATAATATTTATTAAAACTTATATAGGTTACAAAAAAAATTGTTGCACTGATTCCTAAACTAGGATTAATCCTGTATCTTAGAATATCAGTACCTTCCCATACAATTTTACAGTATTAAATTTTAACGCAGACTTTTTTCATTTTTTTAAATAAAACTAAGTTATTTCTCTTCTACCGAGTATCTCTCTCTCTCTCTCTCTCTCTCTCTCTCTCTCTCTCTGTGTGTGTGTGTGTGTGTATTTGTGTGTGTGTGTGTGTGTGTGTGTGTGTGTGTATGTGTGTGTGTGCGTGTGTGCGTGCGTGTGTGCGTGTGCGTGTGCATGTGTGCGTGCGTGTGTGTGTGTGTGCGTGTGAGTGCGTGTGTGTGCGTATGTGTGCGTGTGTGTGCGTGTGAGTGCGTGTGTGTGCGTGTGTGTGCGGGTGTGTGCGTGTGTGTGCGCATGTTACCTATTAGCTTATACGTTAACACTAAGAACTCTTTCACAAGCATAGTAGTCAAATTCTTATAATTATATATATTATATAGCCGAGGCGCAAGATATTCGTAATGCTTTCTTGCTATCGAGCTTTTCCTGTTAGGAGCAGGGTATTTTGCACTTATTTTGTTCTTGACATTTGTGTGTGGTACAGATAAATGATGATACCGTCTGATGTATTGATACTCGAAAGTTTTCCGAACAGACAAAACACCTGTGAAATTTGAACCCGGGACCTCAAAATCAGCAATTATATTTACGACCACTAGACCAACGAGACAGTCAGTTTGAGTGATATACGGAGGAGTTAAGCTGAAACTTATAATTCACTAGACTAATTTTGCGAAAAAAGATTTTAGTTATTTACTTGGGCTAATATCTACCCAATTTTAAATATTTTGTTTAAGTCCGTGCATTATATATTTAATATTTAATATATACATATTTAATATGTGATGAGGTAACAAACAGACAGACGGAAATAGATTTTAAAAATAGCTGATTTGGGTTGCGTTGATTTTTTCTAGTCTACCTAGATAATTTTCGCAAAAAAATTCCGATTCTTACGATTTTATTATTAGAAGATAGGGGAAGCAAAAATTCAAACCTTTGCCGCTCTATCTATGTAAACATTGTTTCATTAATTACAGTCTGTCAATAGATTGCCTCATTGGGCTTGTTTAGTTGGACATTAGCGCGAAGGTCGGACCAAGATTCAGTTTTTGGGTTTTTCTGTTTGGAAATTCTATTTCCATTCTTGCCGTGCCCTTGGACTATGAGAGTGAGAGTGCAGCTATACTTGCGTACACATACATACATATAATCACGCTTCTTTCCCGTAGGAGTATGCAGAGACGACTTCTTTCCTCTTGCTACGATCCTTACATACTTGTTTCGCTTCGTCCACTTTCATTATTCCCTTCATACATGCATTCTCTACGTGGTAGAGCCATGCTGCAGCTATTTATGGTTGTAGCACGAATGGTTCGGCTCGACCGGGGAGGACCACGCTCTCACAGAAAACCAGCGTAAAATAGCAGCTTAACGCTGCTGTGTTTCGTATGGTGAGTGTAGAGAACCGGAGATCCTTTTTAGTGGCAAAGAGGCATTCCATCTTAGTCCTCACGGGTGACAACGCATCTGCATCTTGAGTCTTTATTGAGGATAGATGTAGATGTCTATGGGTCACAGTAACCACTTACCATCAGGTGGACTGTGTGCTCGTTTGTCACCCGATACTATAAAAAACATGCTCTACGTACTCTTACTACGTACGTACTCTTGACCTGGCCCTTTTTAGGATTTTTTAGGATAATAGTGCACACTCGTGCACTATTATCCTAGTCTAGGCTACTCTTCGTTGGAACTGGCTGCTGTGACCGAAATTCGGTCTGACATTGTTATTATTATGGATATGGTAATATGCTCATGCTTGACCAAAAATGTCGCTGTACTTAAAATATTTTCCTTCTTGTATCTTCTACGGTATATGAATCAGAGTGTCACACTTAAAAGAAACATTCTGTATCCTGTCTGAGGAAGGGAAAAGTAATTATTGTTGCTTAGATACCTTAACATTGCATTTTAACAATGTATTCCCTACATTCACAATAACGATATAGTATTATTTGCTGACGATACCTCTTTAATTTTCAAACTGAAACGGCGGTCAATTAAATATGACGATGTAAATAATGCTCTATCGAAACTAGTACATTGGTTTAACGCCAACAATTTGCTCTTAAACGGCAATAAGACAAAATGTATTAAATTTACAATACCTAATGTAAAAACCAATGTGCCCTTAAATGGGGAGGAGTTGAGTCTTGTGGATACTACTGTTTTTCTCGGTATTACTATTGACGCGAAACTTCAATGGGGCCCCCATATATCTAAATTAGCAAGCAGACTTAGTTCTGCAGCATATGCTGTAAGAAAGATTAGAAGTCTCACAGATGTTGAGACAGCTAGGTTAGTGTATTTTAGTTACTTTCATAGCGTAATGTCTTATGGAATTTTGCTATGGGGTAATGCGACTGATATTGATGCTATATTTGTTTTGCAAAAGAGCGCCGTTCGGGCGATTTACAACCTAAATTGTAAAGAGTCCCTCAGACTAAAATTTAAAGAAATAAACATATTAACTTTGGCACCGCAATATATTTATGAAAATGTAATGTATGTACATAAAAACATAAATAGCTTTAACAAGAATAAGGATGTGCATACTTTAAACACTAGGAACAAACATAACCTTGTAATACCATTTACTAGACTCCACAGAATCAGTAATTCATTTATGGGGCAATGTATACGCTTTTACAACAAAATCTCAGAACATAGTACAACTAACATACAGCAAAGTTTGTCAATAAACAAGTTTAAAAGTTTTATCAAAAAAAAACTGTACAAAAAGGGTTATTATAATATCAAGGAATACATGAATGAAAATAACCCCTGGGAATAAGGTGATCGCCACCATGCTGGTTCTATGAAAAATTATTTAAAAATTGTATAAACGAAATTATGTTTGAAAAAAAACGTCCCGCTGGGTTTCTTGCTTGTTTTTCCCAGGACAGAGGTATTTTCCGAACCAGTGGTAGATAAAAAATTACTTTCAATAAGAATTATGTAATAATCGATATTGAATAAAAAATTATTCTATTCTATTCTATTTGTAAGAATAATAAGGAGTATTCATTTGGATTTCTCAAACATAATTTAGAAAAGTAATAATTTAGAAGTAAGACGTTCTACAATGCATTGTGCTTTTGTAAAAGTCCCTTCTGCAGTTTCGGCCTTTCTTATCAGGACACACTTACATCCTGTATTCTATCTGAGAAAGGGAATAGAAGTTATTGTTGCTTAGATGCCTTAACATTGCATTATAACAATGTATTCCCTACAGTTGTAAGTATAATAAGAAGTGTTTATTTGGATTTCTCAAACATAATTTAGAAAAGTATTAGGTAATTTAGAAGAAAGACGTTCCACAATGCATTGCATTTGTAAAAGTCCCTACTGCGGTTTCGGCCTTTCTTATGCACACTTAAAATAATCACGCTGTGTACTTTTCTCAGAACAGTAAAAGAAGTATTCGTTTTATTTGCTTTTATATTTTACTTTTAAAGCGTATAACGTACATTTATTTGAAATGTCTCCAAGACAATAATTAGGATAGCTCATTCCGATTTCTTAAACATCAAACAAAAAGTATTGATTTAGAAAAAGGACGCGTTTCAATTCATTGCATTTGTTTTATTATCATTGTTCTGCTCAAAAAGATATCCTATGTTAAATTAGACGTAAAAAATTACAAACAGAATTAATTTTATCAAATGAAAGTTTGCGTAGCTTGTTTGTTTGAGATTTTATAACATGAATTTACAAAGTAAAGAAAATTGAGATAACCGGATGAAAAGTAGAAGACAAAATAATAGTATTATAATTTTAAAATGCAAAAACTTTACTCAATTGTCTTGGTAGATCTACGGTTCTCATTATTTTTAAATGCATACATGAAATAAAATGGACAAAAACTTAATACACGCGGGTAGGCGTTCATAGCTATGACTTAATACAGGGGACATGGAGTGCTCCTAATAAGAATTGTGCAGGCTTAATTAGAAGGAATTTCATTGCAGCCGTGAGCGGCGTCAGCTGGGAGGAATGGTGGACCTACGACGGTATTTCAGGTAAGCGCTTTACTTGTATATATTATACTTATAGTTTATAACGTTGTAAGTAGCAATATATCATAGTTCATGTTTTATCTAACGTAGGTTAATACGTTCTTATTGTCTTACTTAAGTTGTTAAAATATACATTTTGTGTTATTACTATTAAGAAATAAAAGTAAGGATTTTTTTTTATAGGATAACGGTGACAAACGAGCACACAGTCCACCTGATGGTAAGTGGTTGCTGCGGCCCATAGACTTCTACATCTATCCTCTATTACAAATCAAAATGCATTGCCACCCGTGAGGACTAAGATGGAATGCCTCATTTCCAGTAAAAAGGGCCTCCGGCCACCTGCACTCACCAAGCGATACGCAGAGGTAAACCTCTACTTCACGCTGGTATTCTGTGAGGTCGTGGTACTACCCCGGTTCGAGCCGGCCCATGCGTGCGACAGCAAAAGCTGCCGCGTGGCTCTACCACTGTTGAAAACAAGATAAACAAATTCCATAAGATTTTGTGTTATATTTTTAGATTATTTGAAAATGTTTCTCGCTTTAAATTCGTATTCGTATTAATAAGAAAATTTAACAAGCACTAAGTTGGTAATAGCAATTTACATTATATATTTTAAACGATAACTAGTATAGCAACGCTGCAGTGTATTTTAGTCGCGGTACGAACGATTCGGCTAGACCGGAGATGCTCAAATGTTTCGCTGTTTTTCGTATGTTTCGCATGGTAAGTGACACGATCCGGAGACCATTTTTACCGGTAAAGAGTAATCCTTTCTTATTCCCAAAATGTGATAACGCATCTGAATTTTGATTATTAATCGAGGATAGATGTAGGTGTCTAAGAACCATAACATCCACTTACAATCAGGTGGACTATGTGTGCGTTTGTTACTCATAGATAACATAACTTGCATATAACTTTTACACCAGCTAAGATATTATAGATATCAGTGCGATCTTGAGTTGAATGACCTACCACAATCCCTAAAAACGTTTCGATTGCGAGTATTATCAGTTCCTGCGTATCGATAACATTTTTGACGGTATACGTGACATGAAATTTATACGGGCGATTTATCTTGCATTCATATTGCGTTTCACACAATCGTGAGGTATGTTACGTTATCGTATTTCACAGTCTATCTTTAACTTGAGATATTGAACTTTAGCATTTTATTCTACAATTTTATAAGTATTGATACTTTTTTTAATATATAAGATATGTATAATATTTATGATATATAAGAAACGAGGTCAAAGATAACCCAGGGTTCACCCGATGGCGAGTAATGACCAAGATAAAACACATAACATTCTGCAATTGTACTGGCTCTCTTACCCCTTAAACTGGAATTCAACTGTATATGCACTGCTGATTGGCGGCAGAAATAGGTAAGAGAGTGGTATCGGCTCAGACGGACTTTTAAGCAGAACTTTTAGTTTATCGTCTTTTGGCAAAATTTTATAAAATTGTGTTATATATTAAGGCAAACGAATTGTACGGCTTCCCCCCGCTAGATGGAGTGATGACCTGGTAAGACATACAGGAAGTCAATGGATACAGGTGACTCGGGACCGTGGTTTGTGGCATTTTCTGAGGGAGACCTATGTTCAGCAATGGACTTGTGAAGGGCTGTAATGATGATGATGATATTTATATATAAACGAGAAGGACAAAGGACATTCGTGAAAGCGCTAGGATCTTAAATCAGGCAAGTAAAAAGTTGTTACTAACGGTAATCCAACAAAAGCGCTCCGATCTACATGACATAAACAAATCCATAGACACGTCATTCCGTGAGTTAAAGGCAGTTTTAACGACATTTGATTATAATGTTTGCATCGGAACGTTAAACAAACGGGAAATTAATAAATATAACGAATTCAAAAACAAACATATAGTAAAATATCAAAAATTAACGACCAAATTCAAACAAAGTCAAACATCTGTGTCAACGTCAGAATGAAACGCAACCTTTGACCACAAATACGCATCATAGATTAAACGTGGACAATAATCTTTCAAAACAAACTCTGGATGATGCAACAATTAGAGTATTATCGAAAGGCCTTAATTTCGCCATAACACCGCAAAAATTACCGTAGGAAGAAATTATCTGCAGTATCAAGGACTGTTTATTTCAAAACAATATGTGATAGGAAGATTTGGAAGCGATAAGTCAAGACATTTCGTCTATGTTTCGTCGAATTTCACCGCCGATACCGAATCTACCCAAAGACGATTATAATTCTAAAATACAAGAACTTTTGTCGGATGCAAGCACTTATAAAAAGGTTAAAAACAACAAATAACACACTTGAAAACAACTAGTAATCTCATAAAGAAACACTCCGAAAAATGAAATCTGGACCTAAAATCGATAATACTTACGTGTGCCAAACCACCGAATTTGTATGGGTTACCAAAAATACACAAGCCCAATGCTCCACTACGTCCCATAGTGAGCCAAATCGATTCACCAACTTACAGATTGGCTCAACACTTAGCGAAAATACTCTCACCGCTCAGGGGATATACAAGAGCACACACTACCGTTCTTTCAGCGAGATTAAAGACCTACATCTGGCAGACAATGAAACTATCGTCAGTTTTGATGTGCAGTCTGTGTTCACATGCTTATCTGTTGAAGACTGCATCTCGATTGTAACTAGAAGGCTGGAGGAAAACAACATGCCCGTAGAATATGCAGTATTACTCAGACACTGCCTTATATCTGGCTATTGTGAAAGAAAGTGTTCTACAAGAAAGTAGACGGTGTGACGATGGGCTCACCTGTATCTCCCATTCTCGCCGATAATTTCATGGAAGACTTTGAGGAGAAAGCCCTGCTTACTTCTCCCGTAAATCCAAGGTTCTACAAGCGGTATGTGGTATGTTTCACAATTCTACCTTTAGATAAAGTATACACATTTTTAGACCATCTTAACTCCATAAATTCTAAAATTCAGTTCACAGTGGAGTTAGAGGCAAACAATTCTATAGCTTTTCTAGATGTGTTAGTAATTCGGAATCCTGATAATACCTTGAGCGAGACTGTGTATAGAAAAAAGACCCACACACCCATATTTAAACGGTGATTCTTATTACCATCCTTCACATTTAGCTACTGTGGGTAAATCTATGTTTTAGAGAGCACAAGCGATCTGTGACAGTAAACACCTGGCCGCCGAGCTCCAACACATCAAGCAAGTTTTGGACGACAATAAGCTTCGGGTCCCGCGCCTACGTCACAGTGAACGAGTGAAGCCGGCCACAGTCGAGCGAGTGCCTGCTGTACTGCCATATGTCAGAGGTGTCACTGACAAGATTGGCTACATCTTGAAGTGTGCTTAGATTAAAACATACTTCAAGCTGCCGAAGAAGATAAGTCAGTTTTTACCATGAGTCAAGTGTAATGTCCCTCTGCAAGATGCAGGAGTGTACAAACTTGATTGTGAATGTGGTCACTCCTATATAGGACAAACTAAAAGATCAATAAAAACCCGCGCTAAAAATGCATAGCTGATGTGAAGAATCGACGAAGAATGCGGAAAGTCTGCAGTCTGTGAACACGTACAAGATCGCCTCCGTCACTACATTAGATTTGATAGACCACAAATCCTCGCTCAAGAACACCGATTTCTTCCAAGGATGATTCGGGAGGCTATTGAAATTAAAAAAGACATCCTTACTTCAATAGAGAAGATGGCTGGGTGCTACCTTCTGCTTGGGAACCCATAATCAATAAAATTAAATCCCAACCCAAGCATACAACTGCAAGACTTCAAGACACTGTAAGTTCATACTGCGTAGATCGGAACAAAAATTAATATTTTTTCAATTGGACGTAGCCGTGGTTAACTATGACATTGGGACGTTAAACACCTCAGGCCCCTCCGTGTCTATGGGTGCTGTAAAATACTCGAAACGTCGGGAATATAAAATAAGTTAATATACGCGATACAATCCGTAAAACTAGTTTTATTTAAAAGTGTAGTGTTCGCGTAAATATAAGAAATCATTATATAAACGAGAAGGCTCTATACCCGATGCGTATATTTTAAGTATGTTCACCAATTTATTATAAGCGGTTCAACCAATTTTAATGACACTTTCATTAAATGGTGTACTTCATGAGTAGTCCTATATAGATAGATAGAATCACCTCTAAAGGTTGGAAAAACCGGGCATAAATTTTTTAAACCGCTTATTTTTTATTTTTGTGATTGTGATATGCCTTTCTTTAATCAAGAGGGTAAAACAATAAAACTTAAAAAAAAACCTTAAAAAACAAAAAGTAAGGAAATAGTTTGCACATATTATATTTCGAAGTCGGTTCTTTATTTATTCGATACACTTCGTCTTAGCACCACCTTTTTATTATATGGAAATTATTTTCTTCGTTTTCGTTATTGAACTCGGTTTTACATTTTATTTAAATTAATTATGTATTTAAAAAATGTGGACTAAATAAACAGCTAATATTGTTTGATGTCCGATTTGGAAGATAAGAGAGATTCTCTCTTTGTCCCTAGGGATAACAACGCACCTTTGACATTGTTTATTTGAAGTTAATTAAAGGCAGACATTTACCGTCAGACTAAATGGACCCATTAATGTCAAAAAAATGGACATAAAAAATATCCCCTATACATATTGTTTGTAACGTTATAAGTAAATATTCGCACTGGCATTTTCCCGTTAGAAATACTTTAATATTGGACGAAATACGCGATTTATGTTGTTGCAGGAAAGTTTCCTAGTCCAACTTTACTGGTAGTCTTATTATTAGTTCGAGTCACACGATAGTTACAATTGTATATGTGCCGCACGTATAACTGGATTCATGTAAAGTTGTTGAACATAGGTTTTGTGAAACCACAAGTTATTAGTTTACTGGTTACATAATTATACATTTATATTATTTAGACGATTAATCTAAATGTATGGAGTAGTTGATAATATAAAACCATTTTAATGGAAAACTTTAAAAAATA